AAATTTTAACATTAAAAATATTGTGTAATAAAAAAATATTGTAAATTATCATAGTACATCATAAAAATATTTTTATAGTTTATTTTATTTTTAAAACAAAATTATACACCAAATATAATTAATTATTAAGATTCAATATAATAAATTACCTTACAAATTGATAAATATATCAGTTACGTACGTAAGATCAATGAACAATAAATTAATAATTTATTAACACTATGGACCATTTATTGCTTAGAAGTTACAACAATATCACTACAGCCGTCACTTCAATAGGTGGTTATATCTCATTCTCAATCATTTAGTCCATCTTCATCTTTTTGTTTGTGAAAATATACTTAAATTTTAAACTGAAACTAGAAGAAAGAAATGTTTCATATAAATACAATGACATACAGTCATATGAAAAATGTTAATATAAATATAATATAGATATAAATCTATTATATATATATATATATATATAAATTTAATATTAATTAACAGCCATTTTATGCCCTATATTATTTCATAGTCGTGTTATTAATATTACTTGCAGTATATAATCTGTCCTCTCGAGGAGTTTCTTTTACTGCTTGGCAATGCAGATAACAAAAGAACCCTGGTTTTTCACATAATATTTTTTATATAATTTATACTTCCTTAGAAGAAGTTAAACCAAAAATATATTTATAATTATTTAAAATTTAGTAATACTTAAATTTTTTATAAAAAAAGTATATTTTCAGAAAATACCAACTAAAATATTCTTAGAATAAAACTAATTTCTTTTTTTTTTCTTCTTATTCTTGAGTTTTTTTTTGCCTTTTTTATTTTTTGAATTTGGTGTGTATGCATGTATAGCATCTTAATAAGATACCTTCTATGCCATTGCTTCTCTACCAGTTATTTTTCTTTCTTTTCATCTAATTAATTCCTATCGGATAAATCTTACATTCAGCAACATATTAAAAATCTCATTAAATATAAATCTATTTTACATATAATTATATATAAATTTAATATTAATTTTAATTGAGATTTAATAATATATTTTATATATTTTTTTAATAATTTATATTTATATTTTTTAATAATATATATAGTAAAAATATTTTTTAGTAATAAGCATTGTATTATTATAAAATATGTATCACATGAATTATTTTTTTAGTGAGTATAATAATTTTGCAATATTATTTTTTTTTAAATCTAACATGTCTCTTTGTTTTACATATGTTATGTGTCATTTACCTAATTAATTAGATTCAAATGAATTACTTACGTTTATAATATTGTTGATTGTTAACTACCAAGAAATATGTTTTGCTTCTATCCACAGGAAGTGAAAATCATTATAATTTATTCTAACAAAGGATGCTAAATTCAAATAAATTAATAAGTTATCCACATTTTTTTTTTATTATCATTATTGTCTATACCATAATCATCATTATTACTATCACTATATTGATGTTTATATTTTGACTTTAACAATAGAAGAAAGTGGTAAATAAGTTTATAGTGATGATAGTAAAATTAATCATGGTGATTATAGTGGCAAACACTATTCCTCACCGGTTGTTGTCCTATTATTATGACAACAAAAATCACTACTATCATTATTATCATTATCACGATAACAATAGTGATGACGGTAATTGTAGTTGTGACAATGATGAAAGTAATAATAATTATATTAATAATAATAATGGTGACAGTAAAAATAATAGTTATTGTTGTCACTGCAATCAATATCTTAGTTGTAGATGTAGTTAGCGACAAAAGAAAGTAATAATGATTATAGTGGTTGTCACGTTGATAAAAGTTATTAATTAAGAATATAAATTTAGTTTAAGATAAATTCAATTTATCAATCTTACTAAAAAAATATTAGTTAATGTTTTATCCCTCTAATTTCTTTTATCATTACTTTTATTAACATAAATTCTCTCAAAAATATAATATCAATCTTCAAATTATTTTAAATTTTTATGTTTAGTATTTTACTAATAATATTCTTTTTTTTAATTATAATGTTTTCTATCCTTTAGTTTTTATTATCTAAAAAATATTTTAAAAATGATTTAATTTTTTTATTATTATTTCATATAAGAGTAATGACATTATATTAATTTGAATGATGCTAGACTTAATTTTTTTGAATAACAATTTAGATTTGTTATAAAAAAAATGTAATTTAAGAATTAATTATCAATAAAATTAATAAATATTATAATAATAATATGATTATAAAAGCTTTAGTATAAGGGTGAAGGCAAGTTATTAATAAATGAAAATTTATCTTATAATTGGTTAAAGTTTAAAAATATTTTTAATTTGTGTGTGTTTATTCTTGAACCATTCTCCTAATAATTAAGAGGCAGAGTTGTGAAAATGTGGAGAAGAAGTTGAATGGAAATGGCACGAGGTACAGAGTGTTTGTGTTCCCAAGCCTAGTGAGCAGTGATTGATGGCAAGGCAATGAAGGTGAGTGAATAGGGACCGTAGACTTTTCTGCATGCAGGTATATGAATGAAGGTACTGCTGCAACTGGAGCGTTTATGTCTCAAACTGTTGCTGTGTAACAGAATAATTATTCCTATCCGTAGGAGGTAAATGCAGGCCAATCAATACTACTGCATGTGCCCCACATCTTTCACGCGCCATTTTCATCAAATTGGACAAAATTGTAGGGCACACATAAGTCAAATTCATGCACCCTCATAGCTCAGACTATCATCTGCCAAATGCACTATTTCGAATATCAATTGTAATTCCCTTTCATAATTCTCTCCCTTTTTTCTAACATCTTTCGCTTCAAATTATACAAATGTCTGTACTTATTTTTATATAAAGTCAGATTCTTTTCTCTTCTGCTTAGATTACATGGTGTAATTCACATTTCTGTTAACTTGATGATAAATAAATATTAAAATCATATAGAAACTTATTCAATGAGTTTTAAAGTCTTGGACCCAAAAAAGGCAAATCAGTCCATGTTAAATAATCAACATAGCAACTGTGGAGTATTTTTTCATTTTTTTTTAACAATATGATGTGGTGCTTAAAATACATTGCTTTGTACGAATCCAATAATTCAAATTTATTTTTAATATATAAATTGTATTTTAGATTTATAATGGATAGTTTAAATTGAAATATAAGTTGTTTTTAACTATTGACAAATTTTTAAAGAATCATTTTAAAGATAAAAATAAAAGAGAATTATAAATAATATATAGAAAAGAAGATTAAGTAGTAGACAAATAAAAAAATTAAACAATAATAGTTTGTACCCGGTTGAAAGGGAAGTTTTTGTACTAATTGCTAGTATATAAAATGCACATGGCGAGAAGAGATAAAATATTAAAATATTAAAAATATTTAATTGAGAAAACCGCCTAACTAAATTGTATATTATAAAATAATATATAGAAATAAATATATAAAAGGAAAGATAAAACTTAAGAATATAAGAGAGGAGAATTGGATACCCCCAATCATATCCTATCCTTGTAAAAAGTTCAAAGAAAAATTATGGCATATATATGGTTCCGCTAACCAAAATAATTTGGAAGTGACAAATTAAACTTGGAAAATGAGGAGTATGATTTGCACTGGCCTCAGTAAATATGGACAATTAGAAAGAAAAACTAAAGTGTACGTATAAAGAGGAGAATTAGATACCCAACAAATCATTGTGCATGCTTATGAGTTCAAAGAAAAATAATGAGCTGTGTTATTCCAAACGAAAAACCCTCCATTATAGCAGTCTTTCAATTGTGAATATAAATAATATATAATATATACCCTCTTCCATTCCGTTACTTATAAACCAATCAATACATAGTTATTTTTAGAGAAAAAAAAGTAAAGAAATTATACTAATGATTTATTTAGTTTTCAGAAACCAAATTTGGATGCTGATGAAAGGCTGACAAAAGCACATTAAGAGCAGAAAAAGTTGACCCATTAGATGATGATGATGATGATGAAGCTTCATCTCTTTCTTAGGACTGACACCCATGAAGAGAAACACATCACCTTGCGTGCACAGTGCCACAGAGACAACAACTGCATGCTAGTGTTTTAGGTTCTTTTCTGAGTGATGAGGTTACACACAACTCACAAGATTCCTCCTGGTGGACCCTCCTTCAAGGGTTTATGACTCCATGTGTGATGCTGCCATTTTCTGCTTCTCATACAATACAATGCAAAATGTAGGGTCATTGTCCCAACAATTTATGCCTCCTTTATCTCTTCTCAATTTTATCTATTAAACCTTCTTTTGCTTCCCATTATTTCTAAATAATCCTTATTTTCTCATCCTCTATTTTCATATCTGACTAAACGGGGCAATTAATTCACCAAATTAAATCTTGACTTTAATTTTGTTCTTCTTTACCTCGTCAAGTACTGTGCATTTTAATTATATCTTGAAACCAAAAAATTCGTACATTTTTAATGAATTATATATATATATATATATATATAATCATATTAAACTTTAAATAAGATTTTATATATTTCCTAGTCAATTTACATATAATGAATTTTAGTTTAAGTCTATAAAAAATATTAATTTTGTTTATTATAATTGTTAAAAATTAAAAAAAAATGTTTCTCATTATTATATTTAATGATAGAAAAGCATGCATTTATACATGCCACATTTATCTGTAAAAAAACAAAAATACATGTCACATAATACGTTATTTCAGAGCAATTAATAATGTGATATGTCTAAATGCGGGACACCTAATTAGTAAATAACGATAAATTCTATTTTCCTTTAAAAAAGCTAATTTTATTATGGTGTAAAAAATAAAAAACAAATAAAGGAATAAAAGCAAAAGAAAATTTCAATACTTAAATAATGTTTTAAAAATATTAATTTGACTATATAATGTTCTGTGTGCAAAACTTTATTAATAGCAAAATATAAACTAAAATTAAGAAGCATGAAGGAAAGAAAGTCAATGGCAGTGATTTGAAGAGTAACAAGATGTCAAAACTGAAAGCACAAAGAAAAGGACAAAAGCTCGAATTAATCTCCTCCCATTTACAGCAGCAGGAACGTAATAACAAAGACAAAGGAAGAGAAGAAAAGAAAAAATTACAACCTTAATTAAGGTTCCTCTCTTCTTTATTTTTTTTTGTGGTGTTGTGCCTCTCTTCTTTATTGATTCTCTATCTTAAATTTCTCTCCTTATTTATTATTAATATTATTATTATTATGATCCAAAAAAAATAAACAAATTTGATGAAACAAGGAAAAAAAACATATAATCTTACTGACTATATGCTACAACAAAGTAGCATCCAATGAAGCTCGATCATCGATACCCATGCCATGTGTAACTTCGCCGTATGGTGAATATTCAAATTCTTTCTCCTCCACAATGGCCACCACCTTCTCCGACAACCCCTGCACTCACTCTGACCCACCTTCTCTTCGGCCACACTACTCACCTGAACCACCACTTGCTTTGTTCGCCACTATCTCATACTTGCCACCACCACCACCTTCTTCGTCCTCTTCATCATCTTCCTCCTCTTCTCCTTCGTACTCATCATCGTCGTTCTCCGCGTCCTCCATTGCCACGTCCCTATCCTGCTGAGGTGGCCACTGCTGCTCCGGCCGCACCATTAGCGGCGCCACCGCGCTCTCCGCCTTCTCCGCCGCGCTCTCCGCCTTGCTCTTCTCCCTGTACAGCGCGTCCAGCTGGTGGAAGTAAGGGCACGTTTTGGAATCTTCCGGTCTCCTCTTGTTGCTCTCTTTCACTTTCTTGAAGTATTTGTTGATGTTCTCCCATTTCTCTTTGCACCTCTTCGCGTTTCGGTTGTACCCGAGCTTCCTCATGGAGGCTGAGATCTCCTCCCAGAGAGGACCCTTTGGTCCATTCTCTTGATACTTGGCATCCATGTTCGTTCGAAGCTTTATCAACGCCTGAACCTCTAGTTTTGGCCATCTCGAAGAACTCGATGCCACCGAATTCTCCCCATTATTGTTCCTATCAACTTTCACTATCTCCATATTCGTCATCACTTGTTGTTGTGGTTGCGATTGTGGAACCACCGGTAGCACCACGGGCTGTGTAACATTCACTGGTGCCGGTGCTACACTAGGTTGAGGTTGTTGTTGTTGTTGTGATGGTTGTGGTTGTGGTTGTACAATGTTGATGTTGCTCAACGTTTGACCGAGGTTTTGTTGTTCGGCTATTTTCTGAAGGAATGACATAACGGCAGCGTCTTTGGCTGCGGCTATGGATCTTTCTTGTGCGAGGATTTCTCTTTCTCGGTTGATTCTTTGCATCTCTTGTACTCTCCATGCTTCTTCTCTTGCGATTCTGTCGTGCTCGCGTTTCTCTATGGCTTCCAAGAAGCGCTTCTGCAGGTCCTCTTGCTTCTCGATCACTTCCTTCATTAGTCTCTCGAAGAAGTCCTTCCACTTGCGCTTCCTCTTGCGCCTCCCTTCGAGTGTTTCGTCGGAGGAGGTGGAGGAGGAGGTAGAGTTGGAGAAGGTGTCGGTGGGGTAAGAGGTAGGGTTTGGTGGTGGGAAATTGGTAGGGTTTGTTGGAGGGTATGAAGGGATGGTGAGGTTTGTTGGTGGGGTGTTGACAATGGGTTGAGGAATGGTTATACTTATAGGGAGTGGTGTTGTTGATGGAACAGTGATGTTGGGGACACTAGTGAGTGCCGTGTTGGACAGTACTACTGGCTGCATTGCCACTGTTGTTGTCGCTGCTGCAATTGGTAGTGACACTGATGCTGTTGCCGTTGGTGCTATTGCTACTCTTGATGATACTTGGGGTGGCTTTGGTGATGGGTTGGGGGAATGGGGTGTTGGAGTGTGGTTCTCAAGGGCTTCTAATTGATCAAAGAAACGATATGTTTTACCATCTTGTTTCCCACTTCGACCTTCTTTGGTTCTCTTGTGGTACTTGTACACGTTCTCGAATTTCTCTTTGCACTTCTTAGAACTTCTGTGATACCCCAGCTCTGCCATTTTCCTGATGCCAAAAAACCAAGAGAAAATGAAGAGAAAAAAAAAAGAAGGAGTAGAGTAGAGTAGAGTAGAGTTTCTCTGGGTTTATCTTATCTCTTCGAATTCAGCTAGAGGACAAAGGGTGAGATAAAGATGAAATAGAAATAGGAGGTGATTTATCGAGCAGTGGAAGTGCAAGTAAGTGAGAAAATGTGAAAGTTGGACGTAATTGATGTTTTGAGTTAGAAAACGGCATGAATTGATGAACAGAAAATGTCTCCCGTGAGAAACACATGAAGCGGAGTTAGAAGATTTGATGGATAATCTTGTTCCTTAATTTCCCGTAGGAGTAGGTAAGCGAAATAAAGGGGGGAAGAAAAATCTCGCTTTTCATAACTCAATTGAAGTCGGTAACTTATTTGGAAAATAGGACATGAATCAAAGTGAATGTCAGAAAAGCAAATCACACCCAAATCATGAAGCCTGCATATCAATAATTTTATGCTCAAACTCCAAAAGAAAAGAAAAGAAAAGAAAAAAAGGAGAAATTAAAGGGGAGGTTGAAAAAAAGAGAAAAGGAACTGGAAAAGGAAGGAACGAAAAGAGAGAGTTGAATTTGAAGCTAGACGAAGACATTTGGAAGAACAAAATTGAATAATCAGATCTCTGGAGAGGATGAAAAGAAAATCTGAAAATTGAAGTGAAATAAAAGTAAAAATAAATATTTTTATAAAAATGAAAAAAGATGAGTATAATTGAGTTACCTGGATACTTCTTCCCACAAGGGACCCTTAACACTTGCATCTCGAAACGCGACATCCATATCCGACCGTATCCTTAACAAGGCCAAAGTCTCTTGTCGTGGCCACCGGTTTCCACCGAAGCTGCGTTCACCTTCTTCGATTCTACCTCTTTCCTCGTCCCCTGAATTTGATCCAGCTCCGCCACCGCCACCGCCACCGCCACCGCCTCCGCTGCCCGCCTCATGCGCTCCACTCCCCACCGCCCCCGCCACTGCTTCGCCACCTCCTCCTCCCGCTCCCAACACAGCTGAGTCCCCAAGCATAGTCTCTTTTGGGTCTCTCTCTCTCCCTCTTTTCCAATTACAGCAGCTGAGAGCAGCAGAAAAATTAAAAATATAAACAGAGCAAAAAGGGTGGTGAATTCTTTCAAATTTTCATTCCTTTTTATTTTATGTTTATGTATATACTATATACTATATACTATATACTATATACTATATACTATATACCATACACATACCAAACCGCTCTCTCTCCCTTTCTGTGCCCTCTCTCCGAGGTGAATTTATTTTTTTCTTCTTCTTTTTATTAGGAATAAATAAATACTATTTCCCTTTTTCTGCTTTCTTTCCTTTTTTTCTCTCTTTTTTAGCTGTGGAATCTTCCGTTTTTATTTATTTATTGTTTTTTGTTCTCATCCGGTTAATTCACCTGACTCTGCTCTTTCGATATGGTAATAAGAAAAGTGGCACGGAAAAATAGATGCAGGTATAGGGTATTTATTTATTTCTGCTGTATATTTATTTATTAATTATTATTTATTATTTATGAAATAAGAAATAATAAATACATGCATAGATTTTTGAACAGCTGCGCACAGGGACGATGGAGATAATTGTTGGTTTTTGTCTGTCCAGCTATATTTAGTTAAAGGCCGGCTCATGAAGTAGGTCACCTTTTTTCTTTCCCTTTTTTATTATTTACTCCATGTTTTTTTTCTATTTTTAACCCCTTTTTACCTGAAATTTTACATTATTTATAATTTCCTTTTCTTGGGATGAAGATGAGCTTTGTTGCTTTTTCTTTTGGGATGTGTTATTTTGGATTTCAGCAGCGGTTTTAGGAAATTACCAAACAGGCCCTAACGTGGTTCCTGCATTGACCTTTAATCATTGAAGCTAATTCATCCTTTATTTTATTTACATCAGCTTGTTTGTGATCTGGGTTTGTCCCTCCGTTTCACAGCTTCTATGTGTTTTTTAATTTGATCTTATACAATGTAGATCTATCCCTTGCCCAAAATGCCCTTTTTAAAAAAGAAAATGTGGGGGGGTCTTGATTTTAATCTTCTACTTGTTGCCTAGAACGGTGGTTCTCTACATGTGGCCTTCGGGGTCCTACACTGATGGTGACAATTGCAATTTGGACAAATATTTTTCCTTCACATACCAGATAAAAGGAAAAATGTTTTAAATTAAAATATCTTTTTACGCGGTGTTTTTTGGTATTGAAAGTGATTAAGAAAAAAGGTGTAATTGAATAATGAAGAAAAATGATTTTCTTAATAAGTGGGAACCACTGTTGAATAGAACTAGTTTGAAGGAGGTCATATTATTAGGCCAAGCTATTTATGAACAGAAGTAAATGGTGGCCAGTTCTGTTGGGTTTGTGACCTACCGTAATAAATGGCGTCAAAGTTTTGATGGCCGTGATATTGTGCATCATGGGTGATTCCAAGAAGAATTATTGGTATGCTAACTTTGAACTATGTAATTACTCTAACCAGTGTACATTGGTACTATACTCCACATTTTTTATGCCATTTGTTATCTTATTGTCTTCACCCTTTGCCTAAACAATCAATATTTTCAAAATCAAAATATTGGAGTATCAACTTAAAATCTAATAAATATTTAAAAAAAAAAATAGGACTTACTACAAGAAGTTTTTTTTTTTTTTTTTAAATGTCTTCAATGTGCTTATTTAGTATTTTTTTTATATATTATAATCATGTTTAATTAGTATTAAAAGAATGGTGCTTCTTCTAATTAGTTACTTAAAATACTGAACTAATATTTTAACCTTGAAGCATCTATTAGTTTTCCAGGTTTAATTCTTTTTTTTTTTTTATTTCTTACTATCTTCAAATTTTGATTTTGATCTTCCTATTATTTATTTATATTTTTTTAGTGAATTTGATTCTCCTACTATTTTAGTTGTACAATTTTATTTCATCATTTTACTTTAAGTATGATTTAAAAAAAATATTAATAATAGACACACCACTGTATTGTCACATCAATATTTCTGATAAATGTTGAACATCAAGTTAACATATGAATCAAAATTGCATGTTTAGAACAGTAGAGGACCAATTTTTGGGAAAACAAAAAAATAGAAAGAGGATCGAATTTCAACGATGTTTAGAATAGTGGAGGACCAATTTTTGTGAAAATAAAAAATAAAAAGACGATCATATTTGAATTTCAACTATCGATGAAAGAAAAAAATACAATTAAGCCTAATTTTTATTTAATCAACAAATTATCATCTTGGAAGATATAGAATTAAATATTTACTAATTGTTAGTTCTTATATTTAATGAAATTAAATATATTAAAAGAATAAACAACAATTAATTCTTTTTCTATTATTCGAGAAAAAAGTAATGTAATATCATCTGATTCAATTTCTAATTGCTTAAAATGAAATAACAAGTTGAACAAAAAACATGTATTTGCTTAAATATTTTCTAAAATATCAGTTTTCAACCGAAAAAAGATATTGTAAAATCTTTTGTGGAGGCCAAGGAAAAAAGAGGAAGAAGCTGTATGTTAGAGCAATTTAAATGAGACAAATATATTTTTCTCCAAAGAAATTAATAACCTTTTAATATATCTCTATTAGTAGTTTAATATATAAAATTAGTTGTCTTATATCTATCTTAAAATGGTTTATGAATTAGTTTTATTATAATGTTGTGCCAATTCTTAAAACATTTTTTTAAATAAAAAAAAAAAAAAAAACATGATAGAGAACATAGTGTGATTGGTGATGGTGTGCTATATTGGATTATTTCCAATTTATAAATATTCTATGCCGAAGAAATGGCTCCTACCCATATACAATTATGGCACCACCGCTGATCTATGTTATGTGAACGTTGCGTTTCTCTTTCGAATTTTAAATTCCAAACCTCTTTGATCGTTGCACTTGCACTTGAAAATGACTTGATATTGAGATAAGGTTGTTGAATATTGAAACTTTTTTATTTTTATTTTTTATTTTTATGCATTTCATTTTGTATTCATCTATATTCGGTGTGTATTCTTGTCGATCGGAATCCTTTTTGTGAACCATTGTATTACATGAGACAAAAACATTTTTTCTTTCGAAAGACAGTATTCCCTAGAATTAGTAACCATAATAAATGTTAACAAAATCTTCTTTTTTTTTTTTTTTTCTGGGGAGAAATGCATTCTTAATTATGTTAACCTTTGATTTCAGTAAATTTTATCGCAAAGGAAAAATTGGTCAATGAAACCCCCAGGGTTAAAGGAATATATATACTCCAGCAGCTAGGAACTAATTATTAATATAAAAGTTTTGGTAACAGTTCACTTAGTACGAATTACTTTTATACTTTCAGAAATTTAATGAAATTATATTTGATATATACTTTTTTACATTAATTTAACCTTGTTTAATCCATATATAGAATCATATTAATGAAAAGAGCATGCAATATATTATATTGTTATATTAATTAATTGAAGTTTATACCAGTAAAAATAGAAAATAGAAATATTAAACATAAATTCATTAAACCTTAAAAAGTGTAAGTGAAATATACTTAATAATTATAAAGAAATAATAACAGGAAGAAGAAAAATTGGAAAAATATATTTACTTTGTCTTTTTATTTTATTTTTTTCTGGCATGAATTGAGCAAGTCAATAATTGAGACAAAAACAAAACAAAGGGAAATGCAAGCACGTATATAATGCAAGGACGCGGGACCCACTTAATCAATATACCATTAAATTGCATATAATCATCAAGGATTAGCTTTTTATTTCGAGATCTATTTAGTTGTACAAATCTAATTTACAAAGCACCTGCGAATCATGTGCAGAGGGTATTTTAGTCAAATTAGACAATAACCGAGGCAAGGGGTAATGGTGGGGTATCTAGGTAAATTGGTGATGGCAGGTCGAGTTTCCTCTCCATTTCTTTATTCGTGAAAATTGAACTCAACATTAAGAAAATTTATAATAATTCACACACATCAATTAAACTAGATCTATGAATAAGCTATTGATAATGGGTATGTTATTGATAAAGTTAATTTATAAATCAGCTAAAAAATTATAAATTAGTTGAAAATTTATGTTATAAATTATGAGTTAAAAAATTAAATATTTATAAATTAATTGATAGAGTTTAAATTGTTTCATAAAATTAGTTGATTAGTTAGTCCATTATTATAAATTAAATGACATATTTTTTTAATAAGGAGTGAGAAATTAATATCTAGATAAAAATAATTTTTAAATTAAAAAGAGTAAAAATTAATAATGGTATAAAAGAAAAATTATAAACTTATAAATTATAAACTAATTTAATTAATTTAAATAAATAAATTGTAAACTCTTAAAATAAACTTGTATATCAAATAATATAATTTTTGTTTAAAAAAAAGTTTATAATTCATCAAATGAACTTATATATAAACTTGTCAGATGTCTTACTAAATACACTAAATATGTGAAAATACTAACAATTATTAAGAAACTAATAAAATAATTTATTGAAAAAAGGATATTTTAATCAGGAGCATCCTTGAGCCAAAAACTAAAAATTGAGAACTTCATAATTGGAAGAATTATAGTTATATATATCTTATATATATAAAGTCTTGAGTTTTAATTAAGTCAGTTATGAAACTGATCTTAGATTTTTTTTTTCTTTTGGAGGATATATTGATCATAGATTTGAAAAGACTTTCATATGCAATGTATAAAAGTATAATTAAAATTTAATAACTAAGATGATAAATACCAGATTAATTGGCTTGAAAAATGCATGTCAAATAAAATAACGCAACGATGTATGCGTCTAACCAATTATTTATTACATTTAATTTCAACTAATTCATTATAATAAGCTGAGTTTAATATATAATACATTTTATGTTTCAAATGTTTATTATTTTACTTTCAACTTATTTAATGCTATAACTATTATGTAATATATATATTTATATATATATATATATATATATATATATATATATATATATATATATATATATAACTCATTGTATATTTTTACTGACCAATTTCCTAATTTTTCTTTTTTTTTTCCTTTATCTTTAATTGTCTATTATGATAGGAATTAG